GACCTCCAACTCACTAGAAGCGATGGCCTCCAACCTGGAATTAAAGGACTCCAACCTAGAAGCAATGGCCTCCAACCTAGAAACCTACTTGCGATGACCTCCAACTCACTACCTCCAACCTACTAGTGATGGCCTCGACCCTGCAGGCGGTGGGTGATTGACCCTCAAGGGACACCGACCACTCGACCCACAATTTTTGGGCCGCTGGAACAAGAAGCTACTAGTAACAAGTGCCACGCTAGTAGTAACAAGTGCCTTACTAGTAGTAACAAGAAGCTAGTAGGAACAAGAAGCTATTAGAAACAAGTGCCACGCTAGTAGTAACAGGTGCCTTACTAGTAGTAACAAGTGCCTTACTAGTAGTAACAAGAAGCTAGTAGGAACAAGAAGCTATTAGAAACAAGTGCTGGATTTGTTGCAAAAGCGATGCGGCGGAGCCGAGAGGGAGTGCCGAGCGCAGGCCTTTGAGTCCTGCTGGTGTCGTTGGAATGTTGTTGATCCTCCAGCCTCAAGCTCTCCAGGAAATGGAAGCAAAATGAGCCTTCAGTGAAGTATCGATGTATCACCTAATCTATAAATATCGTAAGGCCTTGATACCGCCAAAACTCTTCCCTGCTCACCCGAAGTGAACATTTACAATCCAGCCCTCTGAAGCAATTGGCAATCCATGCTAGCTACTACCAGCAAGAAGCAAAGAATTCGCTTACCATGCATCAATGCAAAACCCCACCACTCTGTTTTCAGCTTGAGGCACTCCTGTTTGCGGCATCCCAAACGATGCCCTTCACACCGGACTTCAGGTTCTCAATGAGGGGAGCGCAGAGTCGCCCATCTTTGCGGCCTTGCATGCGCAAAGCCACCTGAACCGGCGGAGCGCAAAGCCCCCGACCGAAGGATCGGGTGCTATCGCTGAAATCGAAGTCGATTGGTGGGCCACAGCAATAAGAATTTAATTAGAATTGTAATTACTAGCTTCTTGTTATTCCCCACATCTCTGTGTGGGGTTCTAGTTTTGTTGGCTGCCATCCCGCCCGCATCCGCCCTTCCTTCCTTCCTTCCTTCCATCCTTCCTTCCCTCCGTCCTCCTCGCCCCCTCCTCACTCACTCACTCACTCACTCACTCACTCACTCACTCACTCACTCACTCACTCCACACTCACACTCCCAGGCGTCTGCAGAGACTTCGTCACTCGCTCATTCACACCACTCACTCCATCACTGACGAGACTGCAGAAGGGCCTGCAGTGTCCAGAGACTGCAGAAGGGCCTGCGGCGCGCGTGGTCGCCGCTGGGCCGGCTGTCTCCGCAGTGTCCAGAGACTGCAGAAGGGCCTGCGGCGCGCGTGGTCGCCGCTGGGCCGGCTGTCTCCGCAGTGTCCAGAGACTGCAGAAGGGTCTGCGGCGCGCGTGGTCGCCGCTGGGCCGGCTCTCTCCGCAGTGTCCAGAGACTGCAGAAGGGCCTGCGGCGCGCGTGGTCGCCGCTGGGCCGGCTCTCTCCGCAGTGTCCAGAGACTGCAGAAGGGCCTGCGGCGCGCGTGGTCGCCGCTGGGCCGGCTCTCGCCGCAGTGTCCAGAGACTGCAGAAGGGCCTCCGGCGCGCGTGGTCGCCGCTGGGCCCCCGGCGGTTCTGTGCGTGACTGCGATTGTGATTTCCATAGTATTGGTTCTTGCCGGTGTGGAGTCGCATTGTAAATGCTGCGAGAAGGATGTTTGCGAAGTGTGTCTGTGCACTGGCATTGTGATTTGCAGGACCAGTGTTTGCGCGGCATGCGAATCGCCTTGTAAATGCTGCATAGAAGTAGTTTGTGAGAACACAGGCGTGGCCGACACACTCACTCACTCACTCACTCACGCACTCACTCACTCACTCATTCACTCACTCACTCACTCACTCATTCACTCACTCACTGACGCACTCACTCACTCACTCACTCACTCACTCCACTCACTCACTCCACTCACTCACTCCACTTTACATCCTGCTAGCACTGCCCGCCGTGGTCGGGATAAGACCACTTGATAGCTTTGATGGTCGTTTCGAGCGTGTTACGTTTTGAAGGTCTCATGCGGATCTGATCGCAAATCCAGAGCCTCCAAACTTCTCTCTCCGCCTCCTTCTATCTCTCTCTCTCTCTCGTCCCTCTCATCCTTGTTCATCACATCATCAGACACTTTATCACTCCCTCCCCTCCTTCTCATCCTCGTCCATCACATCATCACTTATACTACACGTCTTAGCACAACCGCCTCATATACCTTCTCTCCTCACACTTCGTTCTTGACTTTTCATCTCACTACTCCGTCTCCCAGGTGATGTTCATATACAATTCAAATTTGTAAAACTTATCATGTGGGGTTATCCGGTCCTTTTATTACCAGTAAGGCACTTGTTACTACTAGCGATGCACTTGTAATTACTAGCAAAGGAATCTACTAGTAAGGCTTGGATCGGGGTGAATTCAACTAGGGAGACCTTTGAAGAAATGGATATGGGCCCTACAGGGAAGTCCTTCGGGAGATCCATCTGACAGCTCTTCGTTGGAAGTGCCAAAGGTGTCTTGGGTGATGAGCCCTGCCGGCCCGGCTTCTCAACTGTGTCCCACCTGTCTTGGTGTCGCCTTGTCGAGCTCTGCTGGTGGTTCACCTGTGGGCATTGAGTCGCGTTCAAAATATCCAGCACAGCAACAAACACAAAGAAAACGGAACAGAAAGACGACCCACCCATCCATCTAGGGAGGCCATCGCTACTAGGCTAAAACGTTCTTCGACTCACTCATCCAAATCCCTCAAAAGCGCCGTGCCGCGCCTGGTCCCGTGGCGCCTTCGCCGTCGGCCTCGGTGGGAAACCGTGTTCTTCCCCGTGTCGGTGCCGAAAGAAGATCGGCATGCGACAAAAAGCGGGATTCGATTCCAAACAGGGATGTTTTTTCATGTTTTTCACTGACCAGTTCTCTAAAATTCACATTTTGGGAGTCAGGTTCCCTCGGTTGCTTGTGGACAACAGCAAGCAGCTCCTTCCAGATTGCGGATGTGTTTCTTTCGAGGAAGCTGGTTTCCTATCGGCTTACTCATGCTTACTCCACCTAACTTAGTGAGCTGGGTTTATGAAAGTGAGGATCCACTTGAATGGCAAGAAATGCACCTCTTCAACTACCAACACTCTGTGATTACACAGCAGGAACTCTCCATTAGGACTACTAACTGCCATGCGTATCAAATGCCTTGTCGCAAAACGCGCTTGGATTGAAGTTGAGAAGTCAGGAATACTCCCCTGGCCGAACAAATACTTCCCTGTGTGACGAACCACACCTGGTGACGAAACACACGTCCGAAATCGCACGTTGAACCCGCCTCCTGAGGCTCTTCGACCTGCACGGGCCGCTGGACGTTCACAGCGCCAACTGCCCTCAAACCGGACGTCCTACCATTAGCTTCATAGTGTTGTCAACTTGTTCACTCTCCTTCTACTGGGGAAACTA